TACTACTTACTACTACTACTAACTACTACTACTACTACTACTACTACTACTACTACTACTACTACTTACCTACTACCACTACTTCTACTACTACTACTACTACTACTACTACATACTACTACTACTACTACTACTACTACTACTACTACCTACTACTACTACTACTACTACTACTACTACTACTACTACTACTACTACTACTATTTACTACTACTACTACTACTACTACTACTACTACTACTACTAACTACTACTACTACTACTACCTCTACTACTACTACTACTTCTACTACTAATACTACTACTACTCCTACTACTACTACTACTACTACTACTACTACTACTACTACTACGACTACGACTACTACCAGTACTACCTCTACTACTACTACTACTACTACTACTACCACTACTACTACTACTACTACTACTACTACTACTACTACCACTACTACTACTACTACTACTACTACTACTACTACTACTACTACTACTACTACCACTCCTACCACTCCTACCACCACCACCACCAGTACCACTACTACGCTGTGCTCGGAAAACTGGCATCCGGCGCGCGCCAGGAACAGGACTGCAGCCTGGGTTGGGTCAGCGCACTGGGCACAGGGAGTGGCAACCTCCAGTAACTTCAGCGCGCATTCACGCGGGCGGTGGACATCACGTCTGGCTGCAAAAGACCGTCGCGCACTCCGACCGCCCAGGCCTCGGTGACCTTCACCGCACGCACCACGAATGTGGCCCCTGTCCATCGCGCGCGGCACAGCGCGGACCCTAGAGTTTGGACACGTGCGTGGAGCCAGCCCCCCCTCCAAGCGCAGGGCACGCACCTGGGGGCTGCTCGGCTTGCCGCCCGCAATCCCCGTGACGGCTGAGCCTCGCGCAGCCGTAGCACGCGGCGAGACTCGGTGCAGGTGGCACGTCCGGGCCTCCGCTGGCTGCAGCAGACCGATCTTGGCAGCCGCCCTGCTGGCCTTGGCCAGCCCCTTGCTCTGCTCTGGCATCCGCCTCTTGTTGCCACCGTTGCCATCGCCTCATAGGCGCCGTGGGCCGGAGTGCCTGGCCAGGCGTAGCCCAGCCCAGTGCTCGTCCAGTACCTGCGCCGCCCGCGAACCCGAGGCCATCCAGCCCGTCTTGCCCGTGTTGGTCTAGACGCATCTGCGCAGCGGGCCCTCGAAGCGGTCGCGGGCGGCCTGGGGCAGCTGACTGCCCGCCAAGCGCGCCGTCCGCACTGCTCACAGAAGGCAGTCGTCAACGGGGCTCCGCGCGCGAACGGGCGGGCACCTGAAGACGCTGAGGCGCAGCTGCGTGAGCGCCAGTTGCGCGCGAACGCCCGCCGCGCACGTCTCGCACAGCGCGGCCCTCCAAGGGGGGCGCGAGCTGGGGCAGAGGGACCGCGGCAGCACCAAGGGGAAGTCAGTCCCCACTGCCTGGCAGTAGAGCCCGCCGTGGCTGGTGAGCCCGCAATACTTCGCCAGGTCCACGGCGATGGCGATGGACGCTAGACCAATTTGCTCAACGACAGCCGTCATCATGTTGACCAGGAGCCCCGCCTTCTTACGCGAGCGACCGCGCGCGCCCCAGTGGGGCGACTGGTCGATCCTGCGCCCCCAGGACGCAGCGAGAGGCTGCCCGAGCTACGACCAGAGCCGCGTCCAGAGGCTGGCCAGGACGATGGGCCCGACGCCCCCTGGTTGGGGCTTGGGCCAGAAGACGACCAGCAGCGCCCAGAGCGGGCACTTGATCGGGCCCTGCACCCAAGAACGCACAGTGTCCATGTCGGCCAGGCCGTCGCGTGGCGGCAGCCAGCTGAGCTGCCTCGGGCGGGGCTGCCCCGCCCCAGGCACGCGCCCTCGCCGTAGAGCGCCAACGCCGCGGTGATTGGCGGGGGGCCCTCCCGCCCGTCTGTCCCACTGGGTCTTCACTCACGAGGGTCAGGAGTCCCGGGCGCGATCAGGATGGGCCCGTAGGTCCCCCCAATCTCGCATCAGCACCTTCATGGCGTCTCCTGCAACAGGGAGTCCGTTCTCTGGTCGTAACCTTCATGGCTGCATCTCCTGCAACAGGGAGTCCTGAATCGCATTCGTAATCTTCGTTGGCAATCAGGCTGGGCGGGGTCAAACAGCCGTCCTCGATGCACCTGCAAGCCTGCCCCCCCCGACTAGCTGGCGGCCTTCTGGCCCAAGGGCGGTGCTCGATGCTGCGCCCCTGGCGCCCCCTAGCCTAGCGGGCCGCTGCGCAGTCCTCGACGTCGACCAGCAACTTGGGGCGGGCGCGAAGGGCCATCTTCGCAGAGGCCTCAGCGGCGACGCTGCGGTCCAAGGCCGCGAGCGGGCCCTTCGTTGCCCAGAGCACTCCGCGGAAGTCGAACCCTCGCAGGGCCCGAACCTGTCGGCCGAAGTGGGCGCACCTCATCCATCCCAACTCGAGCTGATGGCTCCCGCGGGTCGCCGCCTTCCTGCGCGCCTCTGCGAGACCCGCCCGCTTGCGGTGCTCAGCGCTGGCGGTGGCCTGCAGCGTAGCGCCCCGCTCGAGCGCCGGGGGGGCCGTCTTTGCAAGGGGGCCCCCGCGTCGCCAAGCGAGGCCCTAGCACCCTGGGCAATCGGTCCGTTGCCAGCTCAGGCGAGGCCGCCTGCGAGGGCGGGGGCGAGGCCATGGCGCGGCGGCCGGGGTAGACCGTCTTGGTCTTGGTGGCCCTCTCACGCAAGGCCTCCAGGTCGATGGCGGTCGGCGAGTGCGGAGCCGTCGGGGCTTCGCCAATCGCGGCAAGATATCCGACGCTGCCGGCCAACGCCTCCGCGACAATCCCGAAGTCGTACCTCCCCGCGCGGCAGCGGGTGCCCCGCGGACGGACGACCGCCCCAGCGGCCTGCTTGGCCCAACCATCAAGCAAAGTCTTCGAGCTCAACGTTCCAGTCAGCCAGGATGACCCAGGGCCGTGCCAACCCAGCTCTGTAAGGGCTCGAGCATCACGAAGGCGTCGCCAGTGACCCCAGTGCTGTCCGCCGCGTAGACCGCGAGGGCGTAGATGGGAATGCCGAGCCCGGCATTGACCTGGACGGCCTGAGCCTGACGGGGCGGCAGCCCGCGGCGAAGCCCTGGCCTTCGCGCCTGCGCGGCTGGCGCAGCTGCCAGGACTGCCCGCCCGCCAGAGCTGTCCAGCGGCCCAGGTCCCGTCTCCAAGGCTGGGGCCTTGAAGAGCTCGAAGCCCGCGCGCCGCTGCGAGCACCGGCGCACGGTGCTCCAGCCGGTGCTCCTGCAAGCAGACCATGTCGCATGCCCACTTATGGTCACGCCCCCCTCGAGGAACGCCTGCCCGCCGGTCCGGGACGTGGCGCCTGCCGCGGCAGACGTCATCTTCTCGGGCCCCATCCGCTGCGACACCTGGCGCGTCGCCGCGCGCCAGCCCCCGCTGCTGCCCCCCGCTGGGGGGCGCTCTAGCCGCGCGGCGGCTCTATGCCCCTTTTCGCCCCCAGCCCCGGGAAGTCCTCAGACGCCAGCAGCAGCCCGCCAGCAAGGGCAAGTGAGATGACGTGCTCCTGGCTAAACTCCTCGATTCTTGCTGCCCAAGGCCTCGCGGCGCAGCCTGCGGGAGGCAGCCCGCTTGAGCTTGGCAGTGTCGTCTGCGTTGACAAGGTCGGATGTGGGCCGCATGCCCGAGCTATTTCTCGAAGAGGTCAGCAACCTTGTCAGCGAGGTCCTGGTCCACGCCGCAGAAATCGGGCACCTCGGCGCCCGTGCCGCCTGGCCATATAGCCCCGCTGCGCCTGCGCCAGCCCGGGCCGTCGGCACCAGCGCGAGGAGCGCCGGCAGGTGCACTGGCAAGAGCCACCTCTGCCTTGGCAGCGGCTGCGATGCGCTCAGCCGCCCGAGCACTCTTCCAGGCCAGGGCGCAGCGAGCGCGGACGGTGTCGAGGCCGTCCTCGACGCCTGCGTGTCGTCCCGCTTATAGACGGTACCGAAAACGCGGTCGATCGCGTCGAGGCCGGCGGCCGCTGGCGCTCCAACTGATTGGGACACGGCGGCTTCTGTGCACTTGAGATTCTCCAGCGCCTCCAGCACAGCGTGCTTGGCTTCATGCTCGCGCAGCTGGTGCAGCTCCGCGTCGTGCGCAGTCTGGGCGTCTGCAAGCTTCTGCGCTCGCTGTACCAGGAGCGCCTTGGCATCCTCGATCTGCTTACCCTTCTCTGCTTTCCTCTGCAGGACCTGCGCCAGGTGCCGCACAGCGAGGTCGACCAAGGCCCAAGGCGGGCGGTGGAGGGGGGGCGACCTCTTTCTGGGCGTCCGTGAGGCCAGCCTTGCCAGATGCGACCAAGGCCTTGTGAGCCGCCTACATGGGCTCCGCCACGCTGAAGCCCTTGAGCGACTTGGGCGCGGCGGTGGCCCCCCCCCGCCGTCGAAATGGCTAGCCCATTCCTTGGCGGAGGCCCACTTGTCGACCGAACTCTTGTCCTTGGCCTTGGTCTTGCCGCTGTCTGAAACCAATCCCTTCTCACGGCCAGCGCCACCCGACCGCCAGGGCGCGGCCCCTGGGCCGAAAGCGCCGCAAGTCTTGTGGGCAACCTGTGTACTGGGTGGAGCTCTGGCCCCGCAGGCTCTGCTCTCAGCACGCGACACATGGCTTGGGCAGATGCCACACCTGCCCGTGCACATCCATTGCGTTTCTTTGGGAGCCCTTCTTCCCAAGCGTATTTTTCTGTGCCGTGGGCCTGTCGGGCTCGCGGCGATATTGGTGGCTCGCAAGCACCAGTCGCTCTGAAGTTCGCGATTGCAAGCTCAGGTCGAACACCCGAACTAGAACGGCTGGAGGCGAAGGGGGAGGAGGAGCGGAAGGTGGGAAGAGGAGGGGACGCAGGAGGAGGAGGAGGAGTGAGAGGAGGAGAAGGAGGAGGAGAGGGCGAAGGCGGAGGATGAGGAGGAGAAGGGCGGGAGGAATGTGCATGGTGTTTTGTCAGCTCTTCGGTTCCCTCCCCCCCGCGGGTCGCCGCTGTCGATGCCCTCGCTGCCGGCGCTGTCGCTCGGAGGGCCGCCGGCGCTGGTGCGACTGGCTGACCTCTTGGTGGCCGCCAGCGGGAGATCGCCTCGGGCAGCGGGCAGCGATCTGGCCTCCAGAAAGATGGTACTGGTGGTGGTGATGATGCTGATGAAGATGATGCTGGTGAGGATATCAGCCAACGTTGACTTCAAATCAAGGAATCAGAGGACGCGAGCATGCTTGGAATCCGCAACTCAGCAAGCGAACAAGCGTGCAAGCAAGCGCGCATGCAACAAGAAAGCAAGCAAGCAAGCGTGCAAGCGCGCAAGCAAGCAAGCAGAAGGGGGGTGCCGTTGGAAAAAGGGGGGTAGGCATAGGCATAGGCATCTCCATAGGAAATAGGGGGCATAGGAATTAGGGGGGCAACGGACACATTAGTAGGGTTTGAGCTAGGACTCCTATAGGGCAAACCTATTTTGAAAAACGACGATCAATATGATGATGTTCATGCTGCAGGTGACGACGATTATGGTGGTGATGATGCTGACGTTGATGTGCTGATGATGGTGATCGTGTGGCTGATGATGCTGATACTGGTGATGATGCTGATGGTGATGCTGATGGTGATGCTGATGATGACGATGATGGTAATGGTGATGGTGATGGTGATGGTGATGGTGATGGTGATGGTGATGATGATGGTGGTGGTGATGATGATGATGATGATGATGATGATGATGATGATGATGATGATGGTACTGGTGTTGATGATGGTGATGATGCTGATGCTGCTGCTGATGATGGTGATGATGAGGATGCTGATGATGACGTTGACGATGAGAACGACGACGATACTGACAACGACGACGCCGACGCCCACGACGGCGAGCAGGGGGAGGATGAAACGCTCGCGACCCGTAGGAGGAGTTCGAGGAGGGATCGTTCCCATCCTACCCCCCGCATGGGAGGCCAGGAAGCTGACAGTCGAGAATTGTTGTTTAGCCTGTCGCGGCGTGTCGTACAGAAGCGTGGTGGGCAAGAGCTGGCGGAGCGACACGCTAAGCCACAGTTCCCGACCGTAGCTCCTCTGCCCCCCCTGGAGGGCTCTCTGCCGTCTTGTGGTTCTCCTTGTACGTCTACTCTGCAACTCTAGTTTGATCACCCTCCCAACCCAGGGGCGACCACCACTGGGGGAGGGGGGACTGGAAACTCGCACCGTCGGGGAGGCAGCGCACTGAGCGCCACAGAGGATCACGACCATGTCAATGGCTCTAGAAGCCGAGCACCCCAAGGGTGCAGAACCAGACCCCATAAGGCCCCCCCGGTGTCGGACGCGAGGGATCCTCCCTCCTCCTCCTCCTCCTCCTCCTCCTCCTCCTCCTCCTCCTCCTCCTCCTCCTCCCTCCTCTTTTTCTTGCTCCTTCCTCGTGATCTGTCAACCTCCTCCTGCCGCTCCTCCAGCTCCTCCTCCTCGTCCTCCCCTCCTTCTCCTCCTCCTCCCCCTCCCTCCTCCTCCTCCTCCTCTGTATCACACCCCCTCCTCCTCCTCGTCCTCCTCATCCTCCTCTTCGTCATCCTCCCCGCCGTCCTCCTCCCCCTTGTGCTTCTCTCCCCCCTCCTCCAACTCTCCTCCTCCTCCTCCTCCTCCTCCTCCTCCTCCTCCTCCTCCTCCTCCTCCTCCTCCTCCTCTTGCCCCCCCTTCTCATCTTCCTTTGGCGGTCGGCGCCCTCAATCCGGACCTCCAAAATGTCAGGAAACATCGGAAATTCTGGGCTCTCATACGCTTCTCGTTCCGTGGTGGCTGCTCCCCAAGCATGCTCGCGTCGCGAACAAAAAAAAGCGACGGGGAATGTGTGGCCGTGTTCGGCGGCCTCCTGGGGCCTTCGCCGGGCCCTGGATCCGTCGTAAAACATCTCGGGATGTAGAATCCGCCCTGGGGAAAGGGTTGGGACTGCTGGGGGGCCAGAGTTGGACTTTCCTGGCGGAGGACCCACCCATACGGCCCAGGAAGCGTGTGAGGGGTGCCGCAATGATGGGATGGGGCAGCGCCATGCGAATCCTGCCACTAACGCCTTCAGTGAAGCTCCTCTTGGTGCTGCGAAGCGTGTGAGCGGTGTGCAGGAATTGGTGAGGCCACGAGACGTGTCAGAGGTGTGCCATACTGGGCGGGGCGGCGTCATGCGAACCCTGCCACTGTGGCCTTCGGTGGAGCTCCGTATGGGGTCAAGAAACGTGTGCGGGGCGTGCTGGAATTGGCGGGGGACCACCCCTTTGAGGCAACGGAACGTCTGAGGGGTGCGCCGACGGGGGCATGCGGAGGACAGAGGGAAGAGGAGGGAGGAGCGGGAGGAGGAAGGGTAAAGAAAGGGAACGACGCGGGGCGCTTGTCTGTTCAAAACGGGGATCCAACACTGCAGGATGTTGGGGCAACAAATCAAGACACCGCACGATAGAAATCGGTTCGACTTGCAAAAGTCGCAGGAGTTGCAAGGCGGTTGCAACCCACTTGCAAGGCACCTGCAAGTGGGGTACACGTCCGCCTAACTGCTCGGAGTCTGAGAAAGTCGCGGACCGAACTTGGAGCAGGCCAGGCGGACTTGCAACCCACCTGCGAGTGCCCTGCGAGTGGGTTGCAACCACCTTGCAACTGTCGCAAGTCACAGCGATCACTGCAGTATGGCCAGCAACCGATCGAAACAGCGCACTTCTGGGAAGAGCGGCTCGGGACCGAGAACCGACCCCAAATGCAGAGAGGACCGGGGGGCCGGAGACTCGAGAAGAAATGTCGGGCGTCGGCGGCGAACCCTGGGGGCCCCCAAAACCTCTGAGACGACAACGACGCCGACGTTCTACGCGCCGTCCCCCAAGCATTCGCCGGTATAAGGGGTAAATCCGCGATCGCGAAAGTCTTGACCGCTTCCTGGAGGCCATTTTGCGCCCTGGACCCATCTTCGACTGCCCTAGGGCCCGAAGGCTGGGCCGAAACACACACACACACACACACACTCACACACACACACATCGAGGAAAACCGCCAGTTTCAAAAACATATCTTCGAAGATTTTGCGACGGTGGGAAAATCCGGCGTCTTGATGTTTTGAATACTGGCTCCCCGGGAGTCCCGACACTTTTCCCCAGGTCCTGGAGCTTTTCATCCTGAGTCGTTTTTGCGGTCCCGGAACCCAGCGATGCGGACCAGAAAAATCTCCGTCTTATTTTTTCAATACGTTGGAAATCTGAAATCTGGGTCGTTGTTGACGTCGTTGCCGCCAACGTCGTCGATGCTCTGCGCGCCGGATGAAACAATCGTACCGTTGGAGACTTGGCTTTCGGGTGATAACTCTGCTCTCCGGTGGCCGTTTGCAAGGGCCCGGGCCTCTCTCCCAGGACGCTCGCGGCGAGGCGCAGCTGATGGGGAGCATCCTGAGGCTGAAAACCGCCGAGAACTGACGAAAACGCCTCGATCTGGGGACCTCACCGATGTTCTGCGCGCCCCCTGCTCGCCCACGGCGCAAGTGCCCGCTGAGCTTGCGGCGCCCGGGTGAAGCCGCGGCCGGAGCGCCGGCGACTGGCCTGGCGCAGTGGTGGCCTGGCCGCGGCCCTCCCCACCACTCGGGCGTTGGTGGAATGACACCTCCCTCGTCCCTCCTCCTCCTCCTCCTCCTCCTCCTCCTCCTCCTCCTCCTCCTCCTCCTCCCCCTCCCTTCTTCCCCAGATAGCCTCGCGGCGTGGCAAAACATCACGACGGGAAGTTCTTGGCCGTTTGCGGCCTCCAGGGGCCCTCGCTGGGCGCCGTCGTGACCATGGTGCAGTACGGGCCCTGGGGTGAGGATCGAGACTTCTGGGTACCCCGTACTGACAAAACAGCACATTGCATGTCTGGGTCACCAACTCCGTCCCCTTTTTCTTCCGTAAGTTATCATCTCCTGGCTCCCCCCTCACTCCTCCCTCTCCTCCTCCTTCTCATCCCTCACTCCTCCTCCTCCACCTCCTCCTCCTCCTCCACCCTCCTCCTCTCCTCCCTCCACCCCTCCTATTCCTTCTCATCCTCCCTTTTCCTCCCATCTCCGCCTGCTCCTGATGGCAACACAAGCCACCCCCGCACCCACCACATGACATTTCATATCTTCAAAGCTTCTCTCTGGTGCCTGCGGCCCGACGCCCGCCGTCGGCTGCTCGTGCCCCAGGTGAGACCCCTGGCAATGTGCAGAGAACGCAGCCGCCGAGCGGCAGCCGCCGAGCGGCGGAGAACAAGATGTTTTATGGATGCCCAGCACTTTTGAATAGACTATGCCACGCGCGAGATCCCCTGAAGCGATATTCCCTAACCGATAACGCGACTTCGATGTAACGCAAACGCGGTTTCAGATCAAAAAGCAGTTCACGAAACGACGTATGAAACTGGACACCTGGCGAATCGAAATATTCGCCTTGGTAATATTCGCCTTGGGATGGCGTCGACAACGTCCACACACATTCCGAAGAATGTGTGAGGGTGGGTTGCTTCCTCTTGAGCTCATCCCTCCTCCTCTTCCCTCCGTCGACGGGTTGGCAAACGGGTTAGCGAATCAGCTCACGTGGCTGATCTTTCAGGCATGGTGGCCCTCGAGGGCCATTGCCCTCGAGAACAGGGACCTCGAGGACCAAGATCCTCGAGCCTCGATCCTCGTGGGACGGAGGGAGGCTGCCATGCACCAACTTCCTCGAGCATTCCTCCTGGCCCCTGGCCTAAGGTGCCCCTGGCCTTCGCCTCAATTCCGCAAGCCATCCGCTCATCTCTGAGAAAGACTGGGCCACGTTGGGGCCGGGCCACCTCTGGCAGCACCCGAACCCCCCAGCAAGACGAGGGCCGAGTCCAGAATGCACCACAGGATCTCGAAGCGCGTGGATCCGTAGGTACCATCGGGCACCGCGGCCCTTCCAGAGCGCCCGGAACTCTTTGAGAGCGCTCTGGGACGCTCGTGCGCGATCTATCCTGAAAGTAGCCTGCATCGCACAGATCCTCCCCGTCCACCAGGAAACCGTTTCCGTCAGGACCTCCCCTCGTGGCGAAGCCGCCACGTTTTTGTGCGGTCTCAGCCTTTGGGGGCAGGTTCTGGGAGCGGTCGCAAGAAACGGCCTGGGATGATCCAAGGGAGGAGTCGTCGCAGGTCTGGTTCCGCCTGCCCGCCCTCCCCACCACCCAACCCCCAAGAGGAACGGTGGAGGTTGAGGCAGGGGGAGGCCGGAGGGGAAGGGATATGCGCAAAATCCTCCTGGTCCTGTTTCGCCTGCCTTTCCTCGTTATCCCACCCTTGCTCGTCCTCCTCGTCCTGCTGCTGACCCTCCAGGAAGAGGAAGTGGTGGAATACGTCGCCGAGCGGGCCCAATTCAAGCAAAGTTCCGAGCCGCGTTGAGCCGTGGCGACGAGAGGGTTTCCGAATCCCCAGAAACAGGGCCCAGAAGGCCTTTCGCCATCCTCGTCGTCGTCCTCGTTCTCCCCATCGTCACTGTCCTCGTTTGCGTCGTCCACGTCGTCGCCCGATCCGCCATCGTCGTCGTTCCCCCCCCCCGCCCGGAACTCGAGGGTGTCGGCAGACCGGGCGCGCTGGCGGATGCCGCAGATGGCGCAGTCCTCGTCCTCGGCCGCGGTGCACTCGACGTGGATGAAGGTATTGCGCAGCCTTGGAGGCAGGGGTTAGGAGGCGTGCTGGTCTCCGTGGGAACGAGGAGGCCTCTCGACCCGACCAGCTGGCTATGACGTCCGATTGAACCAAAACGCACACTAGGTCGCTTAATTTGCGTATCGCGCCCCGCGATGGGCCACGTGCCATTTTCTCCGCGCCCTCGCGCCCTCGCGCCGCCCCCTTGAAGAAAGGGTAGCCGCTCCTGCCAAGACCGCGATGCGCGAAGCGGGCACACACACAAACACACACATATATATATACATACATATATATGTGTGTATTCACGCCTCCGCGGGTGACATGGACAGGGGTTGGCAGTTACGGTACACTTGCTAAAGTTGTTACTTCATGTTCTCTGCGTTGGGTTCTCAACGTTGTGTTCTCTACGTTGCGTTGCTTACGTTGTTATGTTTACGTTGTGTCTTCTACGTTGTGCTTTCTGCGCCGTGCCTCACACTTGCACACCTTCGAGACTGGCAACGCCAACTGCCTAAGCAAGAACTCGACGCAGTTGCGGAGCCAGTCGCTGCATTCCAGCTCGTCGTCTGGGTACCAGCCTGCTGGCGTCGCCATGTTGGTGTTCGAAGTCGTCCTGCTCGTTGGTCGCTTCGGCTGCACGGTGCACGTAGCGAGGTGCATTGGACCCTTGCGTTCGTGAGGTTCGCCTGGTGAACCTTCGCGCGCCTGGTCTATAGCAATGTTGCCGGTTGACTGCCCTTTCTCGGTGACGCTGTGCGTGATGCGGGTCTGCGTCGCGCCGGACGCTTCGCCCTCGAGCTCGTCGTCGCGGGGGCCGGTGGCCAGTGGGACGTCTTACCCGGGCACAAGCACAAGAAAACGTTTGGGCAGGACGATGCTGCGTCAAGGCTCCGACACCTTTCTCTTCCACTCGCGCGGCTCGGCCTTGCGAAGCTGGTCGGTGAAGGGCGCTCTGGCGGGTCTTCCGTGCGTCCGCGCACTCTGGCACATGTCGAATGCCCACTGCCGCGTGCTTTTCGCGGTCTGCTCGCAGCGAGCGTGCCTGGCTGGTTCTCCTTGGTGCCTGTGGGTAATAAGAAAGGATGCAGCAGTCGTTCCTCTCCTGCTTTCCCTGGTCGGCGAATTGCTGGAGAGTGGTGATCCAGTCATCTGACCGCCTCCTTAGATGTTCAAGCCGCTCCTGGCACATGTGCTCGTGGCGCTCGTCTGGGTCGGGCACAAGAGTGGGCGGGTCGACGAGGCGGTGCTTTCCCCGTCGCGGCGGGCGATGCCAGCGCGCGATGCCACTGCAGACTGGTACCGCATGCCCATTCGGGTGGCCAGTGCCTCGACGCTCGTGAGGTGCGTCGGGGTTGCGGTCGCGCTGCTGTTCGCTGTCGCACGTGCCGCCGTCGCTGGCGCGATGTTGTCGACTATGCGCAGGTAGGAAGCGGCTCCATGCAAGAGGCAAGTTGCGTCGGCAGTTCTTTGGTGCCTTTGCGCCCTGCTCGCCGGTGGTCGCATTGTACTGTGCATCGATGATCGCCGAGGCGCTTATGCCGTCGAAGAACTCAGCTTGGTGCTCCTTCTTCTCGAAGGCCAACAGCGGGGAGGCGTCCACGATGTAGACGCGCTGTGGCGCCTCGACCCCTGTCGGCCCTCGGCGGCGACGTTGGGACAGGGCGAAAAGCAAACTGAAACAAATTGTGATACTGCGACTCTGCTGGGGCAATTCTCCAGGAGCCACCTCGCAGCTCTCGAATGCTGATGCGCTGACGTCTGTGCTGAACTGCGCAGATGAGGCATTGGGCGGCGCGCCCTTGGCGCTCTGGTGTCTTTCCCTCCTGGTCGGGCAGGGTGCACATCAATCGCGCTGAGCGTAGACTTTGTCAACGTCGCTCCTGCTGGTGGTGTTAGGCGCCCTGGTTGTCGCGTCAATCAGGTGGCTCTCCCTCCTTGCTAGGCAGGGGGCTCTTCCGTCTCTCGCGTGCTCGACCTCGCCGATTCTGTCCACGCCGGTAGTTTTGAGGGCTGCCTGCTGCCCGACGGTTGCCAGGGTCTAATCCTACCTTGCATCTGCTGCCATTGAGATGTCCCCATGTTCTTGTTGTTCGTTTCTGCCCGTCGCGCGACTTTTGCCCCGTCCAGAGCTCTGTGGGTCGTCGAGCGAAAAGAGAAGAGCGATCTCAACGCAGATGCTCTCGGCGGCGCTGTAGGGGCAATCGGCGTCGATGCTGGCCTTGCTCCGTCATCCCTGGCCAGGTCGGTGGCATCTTCGTGGGCTGAGGCTTGACCCGTCGCCCTTGGGCGGGGCCCTCTCTGCCTCCCAACGGTCTGCCAAATGACCACGTCTGTTCAGGCCTGAGCGACTCCAGTTGCTCCGCCGCTCTGCGACCCCGTAGAATCCACCGCGCAGATGGCGGCGCCTGGCCAAGCCGAGGCGGGAGATGCCAGGGCTGTTGGCCACCTAAATGGAGGCGCTTCGGCGATGGAGGCGGGGTCCCTTGGAGGCGTCTGCGTAGCCGCTCCACTCGCTGGCGTAGCTGCTCCCGATGTGTGACCAGGGGCGGTATTGGGGTAGTTTGTATCTGTTGCTGCAACCTCGCGGCCTGGTTCATCATGGCTTGCATTGGCTGCGTCGGGGCTGCCAGCATCTGCGCTACCGTCAGTTCCAATGATGGACCTTGCAGTGTCTGAGGAACTGCAGGCTGCGAGGGCCCAGCTGCCAGCCTGGCGCGCGGCGATGATACCAGCGAGAACTCCTGGCAACTTGCCGCGTGCTGTTCAGAGCGTGGCATTTCTGCTTCCCCGTGAAGATCTTCCTCTACGGCCATGTACTCGTCGGCGATTTCCGCCCGCCACGTCGGCTTATGTGTTGTTAAACGTTGTTCTCTCGCCGTAGATCATGCTCAGCGGTGTTCTGCCCGTGTCGCACTGCTCTTTCAACTTGTCGACGATGTTTTTTCCTGCGCTTCCGCCCTCGCCGTCAGCTTTCTCACTATGGTGTCGCAATGGATTGGCCGTGCGGTTTGACTATTTGGAGCGCCCTTCGGTTGACGGGGACCTTCGACGCAATCTCGCTGGTGTTCTCCTTCATCTCGCTGGCGGGCCTGAACTGCTGCTTCAAGCTCCTGATGCCCTCCGCGACTTTCTCCGTGACATTCCGATTCATGCCCGCAACCATGCACGGGCTGGAGAACCTCTGATGGGGTTGCAGCACGAACGTGCAGGAGGTTTGGCTCTGCTACTGACATGTCCCCCCACGGTGACATCTATTTCTGCTGATGGTTGGCGCCTCCGCTGGACGACGAACTCTTCTCCTTGCCTTTTTGCCCTGGCCCTTGCCGCCATCATTGTCTGACTGCATGGGTTGGCGTTGGTGTTGGTTCTCCTTCCACGATGCGCCACAGCTGGGGCAGCGTGCGTGCTGCATGTCGAACTTGGCGCCGCATCTGCATGCTCACCTGTCATGTACGATTCGCGTTCTGCGAGTAGCTGCGCTGCGCTGCTGCTCCTGAGAAGGGTCCTGGCGTCCGCTCGCTGTTGTCGTTGGCGCCTGTGCCTGGCTCGGCGCGGCCAACCGTGCCGCTGCCCGCGGCGCCAGCGCGCAGCGGGGGGACAGGGAGGCGACGGTGCCCCCCCCACCGCTGCTGCAGCCGTTGGCGCGGCCGCAGTGTCGCGACTGGCGGCAGGGGATGGGGAGCCGCCGAAGGCGCCCTGCCGCGAGTATCGCGCGGCCAGGCGGCGCGCGTGAGCCCAAACTCCCGGGCGGCCGATCGCGATCGATCGCACGAAGCCCAAGCGATCAGACACGATGACCGCTCTCGGCCCAGTACGGCAGAGGCCACTTGCGTGCAAGGAGTGCCCGCAAATGGCTCGTCTCGTCCTCCTCCTCCTCCTGTTCCTGCTCCACCTCTTCCTCCTCCTCCTCCTCCTCCTCCTCCTCCTCCTCCACCTCCTCCTCCTCCTCTACCTCTTATGTACTCCTCTTCCTCCCCCTGAGCGCGCGGCTGCACGCAGTGGCCCGGGTAGTCGCAATGGCTGTTGACCTGCATCGCGCTGTCGCCCACGACGAGGTTGCTGCCGTCCACGCTCGGGCAGCAGGTGACGTTGCGGCACGTCATCCTGCTTGGTGTCTGTCTCATGGGAGCATACGTGGCCCCCGGCACTGTCCGACTTGTGCCTGAGTGCGGACCAGATGTGGGACAAATGTGAGGCAGAACTTGGCCCAGACTTGGACCCGCGAGGAGGAACAGGAAGGAGGACCAAATGCGGTCCAAATGCAGTGCAAGTGCGGGAAGGCTGATTTCAACGTCGCCGCCAAAGGCCCCCATGAACAGACATCCAACATCCTGGCGCCCTTCCACCTCATCGAGCGTGGCCGCCGACAACGGCTGCCCGGAATCGCCGATCGATCGACCCACCCGCATGATCGAATCGAGACCAGGTGGCCACAACCAAGCCCTACCCCACCGACTATCGATTTTCCTGAATCGATAGAAGGCGGGTGTAGGCTTCGGATTTCGCCACGTGTTCGACGAATTCCGAACCTGACCCCCGCCGCCCATGGAGTTGTCCGAATCGTTGATCGGCGAGGGTAGGGTTCAGATTTCGCCGCCGAGAATCGCGACCGCACCGCGGGACAGTTATCCATTCCCTTCGCACTGGGCTCTAGGAGCCCTCCTGAGGTGGCTCACACGACTCCCGAGCGCGGCATCCCGAGACCTCGTGATTTGGTCATTTGGCCGCGAGCCCAGGGGGGCCGTGAGAGGGGGCAGGCCTTCTCAGAAGGCGCCGGGGCTTCTCAGAAGCCCTCGCGCCTTCGGAGAAGTTTGTGTGTCTTCAGGGAAGGCTTAGAAAACTTCTCAAAAGGCCCGAGGCCTTCCGAGCCTTCTGAGAAGGCCCGCCCCCTCTGCATTCCCCCGCGGGCTCGCCGCCGCCTCATGACGTGGGCCGCCAAGAGGTCTAGACCCCTTGTTGGGGACTGCCAGTTCATCCTGAGTCGTTTTTCACAGTCATCCTGCGGTGTTGGGTCCTCGAGACCGCATTGAAGAGACAGCGCCACGCGTCTGCTGCTTCCTTCCTTCTGCTGCCGCCCCCGATCTTGTCCTACCCTTCCTCTGCCCTCCGCATGCACATGACAACACACCCCTCACATGCTTCGTGGCCCCATAGGGAGCTGCACCGAAGCCCCAGCAGGGGTCGCATGCGGTTCCCACTCTTGTCGGCACACCCCTCACACGTGTCGTGGCCGCATAGAGAGCCCCGAAGAAGTCCCCAGGAGTGAGGTTGCACAGGCGGTTCTTCACCCATTTCGGCACACCTCTCACATGTTTCGTGGCCCCGCCTTACCGGCAGCACACCCCTCACACGCTTCGTGGTCCCATAGGTGTTCACAACCGCGTATGGTTGGAACCGTATCCAGAAATTTTCGACGGCCCTGGGGCCTGGCAAGGGCTCCAAGATGCAGAACAAGTCCGAGAACCTTCCGCCGTGATTTGTTGTATAACCCGAGGGGGTCAAGGTCAGCGCCGCCGTTTCCAGGCGCTTATGAGCTGCGCGATCGTCTGGAAATTGCTGGCTCCCACGGTCGCCCAGCTGCCTGTCCTGCCGCTCCGATGGGTGGTGCGTCGCGCGACTGCGAGGTCGCAATTGCGGCTTGTAGCGGCTTGCCGAAGGCAGCATGCGATACAGCAATTACATACGGTAATGCACTCCGAGGGCCATCGGGCGATAAGAAATCCTCATGGCGCCGCACCCGTTGGCAGGCCAGTGTCTTATTCGGAGTGCCTCGTACAGCCTAGTTATTTTCCCTGCTCAGGCGCCGCCTGGTGCAGGGCATTCTCGCTCGCTCGCTCGCTCGGGCTGAAGCTACGGCCCGGAACTAACACAACCTCATGATGCATCTTCAAAAAGGCCGCTATTCGCGCCGAATCAGCGCCGAATCCATTTCGAACACACGAGCCCGCGTCGAATCCGTATCGAACCCGAGTCGGGTACAAGAGAAGGCCGCCATTTGCAGGACCGGCCCCCCGAGGATGCAGCGTAATACACCGCCGCCCTCCCAGAGCTTGCGCGTCCTGGCGTTGTCAACCTGGTGGTGGTACCTCGGGGTCAGGTCCGGGGACCTCTCGGCGGCGCGCGCAGAAGCGGGCAAGGGCCAGGAAAATGGCTCCTTGAGGCACCCCGTTTCATACAAACGTCATGCGACCTACTTCAAGAAGGCGAATCCAGGACCGGGGTAGCATCGGACCGGGATGCGTCGGGGATCTCGAACAACACGGTGCGTTGGGTGCGTGTGCCGGGGCGCCGCGGCGGAGCCAAAGCGCGCCTGAACGCTCAGATGGCTTCCCGGGACGCTCTGGAACGGCGTGTCCCCGCCCTGGGCCCGCCCGGCATAGGGAACGCATGGGCATGAGGACCGAAGGGGATTCTCTGGCCGGGGCGGGCCTCGGCCCCGAGCGACCCAAAGAGAAGGGCCCCATCCTGAGCCCACAGTGGGCCCAGTGCCGGCACCTCTTCTGTGCGGGCCTTCCTGCCTCCCGAGACACTTCACTTTCGCGAAAGTCTCCGAGAAGAGGAGCCGAGGCGCCTCCCGAGAGCCCCCCCCCCTTTTCTGCCTCGCCCGCCCGTCCCCGCCTCGCCCGCCCTCCCGCCTCCCCCCTCTCCCCGACAGGCCGTCCGCCTCGCCCGCCCTCCCCTGACAGGAATCCGCCCCCCCTCCCCCCCCTTGGGCTCCCCCCGTCCCCCCGCTGAGGTCCATCATGGCTAGTTGGTTCAGCCTCGTCCAGCCGCGGCGGCGAGAACGCCCCCAAGCGCAGAAACAGACGATCCTCACCTTTAGCACCTTCTCGCCAAAGACAGAAGGCCCTGGAGCCCTCTCGGGGCCCCTCCTGGCCAGATGCTCGATCTGCGTCCCGCCGTGGCTGCGAGAACCCTCCAGGAGGCTCAGGAGAGGCGAACCACGCCAAAGTCCTTAGCTGCGACATGTGAACCCTACCCCCGCAAGTCAGATTTCTGAACAACCGGCTGGGGGTCAAAAAGTAAAAGAACCCCAGCGGGGATGAGATGTCCGATGCACCAGCGTCGATTGAGCCCGCCGCGGTAGGGTTCGCCATCCATCGCAGACTGGAAGCCGAACCCTCACCCTGCGCCCTCTGGCTCGCCGCCAAGACCTGAGGTCCTCCACGCCCTCCTCGTCGAGCCACGGGCACCCCTCGGGGAACACCCTCCACACTGGCGACTTCGCCCGCACCCGCTGGGGGCTCGCTGGGCCGCGCCCGCCCGCAGGACCTCGGACACCCGAATCTGCGAGCCCCGACTCCCCGATCCTCGATCTCCGATCATGGCCCTTCCCGCGCCCCCTCACGCCACGAACAACACATCTACGGCTAGATGGTGTGCTCCCTATTCTCGGCCTCTGGGGACCCTGGCTGGGCCCGGGTCCATCAAACAACGACTCAGGATGAGAAAAGCCTGTCTTGGGGAAGTGGTTCAGACCTCTGGGCGTCCACGGTGTTAGAACATCACGACGCTGGAGGTCTGGGACCTCTGGCCTTCGAGTTTCCTCCCAGCAAGAGTGGCCTCTCCTGCGGTGCGCTTCTGGCCAGGCGTCTCGGGGCGGACCTGTGCCATAGCCACACGAGCGTCCAGGGGAGGCCCACAACAATCCATAAAACAGTTGTTCGTTTCCAGCGCATCTTTCGGAGAGGGGGGGAAGGGGGGGCATGAGCGTGCACTCTGCAGCCAGAGGTATATCGCGCATGGTGGAATGTGCCACGCCGAAGATTCCGAGATGGACAGCAAATTCCCGCGCCCAGTACATACAAACAAATTCGCCGGCCCAACGGGCCAAGGGCGTGCTGAGATCTCCAGTAACTGGTTGGTGAATCGAATTTCTAGTTCGCGCGCGCGGGGCCGCCCCTGGGGGTCCCCAGACGAAAAGTACCCCGGCAAAGGCCCGGCCAGCTCCCGAGCAGGTCCCGAGCAGGTCCCGGCCAGGTCCCAGCAGGCTTCCAAGAGCGCTCCAGGAGCTCGACATGGTCCGAGACGGTCCAAGAGCGATCCAAGTCGCCAAAGATGTCCGCCCAGACAGACCAAAGCGCCTTCAAGACGCCCCAAGAGGGCTCCAAGAGACCTCCCAAGAGGGCCCACAGAGGCAGACATTTGTGATTTCCCAAATAGTTTTTGAAGGTTTGGGATACTCGACCCTCGATCCTGAAGGCCTTGGTGGCTCAACGGCGACGCCCAAGCCCTGCGGTCGATGCCAGTAGGGGTCATCCCGGGGATGGTCAAACCCCCTTTAGCAAAAGAACCTTTCGCGAAAACGACCAGGGACCGGACCCTGCGGGCGCAGGCCCGCTAAGATTGTGGCCGCGACGCCCTCTCGCGAACCGAAGAAACGAAATGCTGGAGCAGCAGAAAACTAGACGATGTTAAACATAATTTCTTGGCGGTCCGCGCAGATTTCTTGGATCGGCGCTGGACCCCCCTCTGGCGCGCCGTGCGCGCCAGGGGCGGCCCCAGCGCCGATCCAAGAAATCTCCGTAGACCTCCAAGAACCCCACCAGCCCCCTGGGCGTGAGTGATTTGGCGAGTTTCCCTGTCCAGCCCCCCTTCTTCCCCTTCGGGGAGGGGTTCGCCCCTCCTCCTTATTTCCTCCCCTGGTCCTGGACGGGGGTGCGACCGACTGGCACGTCCAAGATGACCTCGGCGACAAGGCACAACTTATCTAGTGTCTGAAAGGGTTTGGGCAAATTTTGACCTCCTGGGGGAGGGGAGGCTAATGAGGGACTCTTCGCCTTCTTTGATCGAACTCCTCAATGATGGCCCCAAGGTGGCCCCCAAGGCTTCCAAGAGTGCTCCAAAAGGCGCCCAGGAGGCCCCAAGAGGCTCCCAAAACACCCTCAGGATGTTCCAAGAGGCTCCCCCGAGGCACCCAAGACGCACCACGTGGCCCCCGGAAACACCAAGAGGCTCCGAAGACGCCCTGAGAGGACGCATAGAAGCTCAGGAGAAATCCGAAGAGCCTCCGAGAGGCACCCAAGAGGCCTCTGGCTATTCTGCTAGCCCTCCTTTTCCTCCTCCTCCACCTCCTCCTCCTCCTCCTCCTTTCTTGTTCCTCCCCCCTCTCCACCTATTCCTCCCGTCCTCCTCCTTCTTCGCCTCCTCCACCTCTGATTCCGCATCCATCCTCCACCTTTGGGTATGTGACGGCTTCCCCAAACCCGTATTGAACTGCATGCTCCTCCAGATCCATGATCAGAGTGAACGTGTCCTTATCCGGCGTTTCGACATTGGGCGGAAGGGGAGGGGGGGTGGTTTGGCTGCAGACCTCTGCTTAATGCGACGGCTTGCAACAGTGCGCCCTATGGGGGAAACTCCATCTGATTGAATCAGGCGCCAAAAACACACAAGATCTTCTCCATGGGGGGACGGGATGCGAGGGGCCGCGCCGATCGGCAAACCAATAAATACGAAAACGATATCTTGGGCTGGTGGGGTTACGCGAAGCCTTGGTTCACCCTGAAGCCGTCTTGGGCGTTTTTTCTTTGTTAAGTATTTTGTGTACTACCGTTTTGTACTTTGGGCTCTTGACTAACTAATATGATCGACCCACGAACCCGGAAAGGAATACAGAAATGTAATGCATTGCAACATTTCAAAGGCACCTGATTGGGCGACGGGCACATGCAATGCTGAATGTATCGATGATGATGTACTGTGCCGAGGGTTGTGCTGTGCTACGCCGTGCTGAACTGCGATGTGCCATGCCGCGATTGTGCTCTGTATAGCGTTGTGGATCGAGTCCTCCCTGGCATCCGAGTCCTCACCGAACTGATCTGGAGCGTAAGCTCGAGCTGCCTGAGCAGATGGTAGCTGCCCCAGAACTAATCGACAGAGGGAACATGCCAGGAGGACGCACCGCGGAACGTCCCAAGGGACACGCCAGGCGACGTGCCAGGGGACGTGCCATGGGCACGCACCGCGGGACGTGCCAAGGGGACGCGCTACGGAACGTGCCAATGGACGTGCCGAGGGACGTGCCAGGGGACGCGCCGCGCGACGTGCCAGGTAGACTCGCCACGGAACGCGCCAAGGAACGTGCCAAGGTGCATAGTTGAGTGTATCGATCTTGATGTACCGTGCCGACGGCTGTGCTGTGCTACGCCGTGCTGAACTGCGATGTGCCATGCCGCGATTGTGCTCTATATAGCGTTGTGGATCGAGTCCTCCCTGGCATCCGAGTCCTCACCGAACTGATCTGGAGCGTAAGCTCGAGCTACCTGAGCAGAGGTAGCTGCCCCAGAACTAATCGACAGAGGGAAAATGCCAGGAGGACGCGCCGCGGAACGTCCCAAGGGACGCGCCAGGCGACGTGCCAGGGGACGTGCCATGGGCACGCACCGCGGGACGTGCCAAAGGGACGCGCTACGGAACGTGCCAGTGGACGTGCCGAGGGACGTGCCAGGGGGACTCGCCACGGGACGCTCCGCGGAACGTGCCAGGCAACATGCCAGACTGCAATGCTAAGGGTATCGATATTGATGTACCATGCCGAGCGACCTGGACATGTGAAAACACCCGTTTCGCTCAAGAAGTTGTCAGCACATCCTCATGCTAGACATCCGCCTGGGCAACCTGGACACGTGCAAACAAGCGTCTCGCTCGAGACATCCTCAACAAATGCTCATGCTAGACATCCGCCTGGGCGACCTGGACACGTGAAAACAAGCCTCTGGTTCGAGACATCCTCAACAAATCCTCATGCTAGACATCTGTCTGGGCCACCTGGAGGCGTGAAACCAAGCGTCTCGCTCGAGACATCCTCAAGACCTGGGCACGTGAAAACAAGCATTTTACTTCAGAGATCCTCTGAATTCTGGTCCCCCCAGGAGAAGACAATCTATCACACAAAACAAGCGTTTCGCTCGAGACATCCTCAACAAATTCTGAAAAACTAGCGTTTCGCTCGAGACATCCTCAATGTTTAATTCGCCGGCCCTACGCGACCTCGTTATTTATCGCAAAAGAAATTCGCCGGCCCTACAGCCGTCAAAACCGGGGGGAAACCAACTAAAAGAGAACCCTGGGCCTTTGCCCTTTCCGGGAAACATGATCGACCCACGAACCCGGAAAGGAATATAGAAATGTAACGCATGGCAACGTTTTCAAAGACACCTGATTGGGTGACGGGCAAGTGCAATGCTGATTGTATCGATCTTGATGTACCGTGCCGAGGGCTGTGCTGTGCTGCACCGTGCTGAATTGCGATGTGCCATGCCGCGGTTGTGCTCTATAGCGTCGTGGGTCGAGTCTTCCTTTGCACCCGAGTCCTGACCGAACTGATCTGGATCTTAAGCTCGAGCTGCCTAAGCACATAGTAGCTGCCGCAGAGCTAATGGACAGAGGAACATGCCAGGAGGACGCGCCGCGGAACGTCCCAAGGGACGCGCCAGGCGGCGTGCCAGGGGACGTGCCATGGGGTCGCACCGCGGGACGTGCCAAGGGGACGCGCTACGGAACGTGCCAATGGATGTGCCACCGGATGTGCCAGGGGACGCGCCACGCGACGTGCCAGGGGGACTCGCCACAGGACGCCCCACGGAACGTGCCAAGGAACGTGCCAAGTTGCTATGCTGAGTGTATCGATCTTGATGTACCGTGCCGACATCTGTACTGTGCTGCGCCGTGTTGAATTGCGATGTGCCATGCCGCGATTGTGCTCTATAGCCTCGTGGATCGAGTCCTCCTTTGCATCCGAGTCCTGACCGAACTGATCTGGATCTTAAGCTCGAGCTGCCTGAACACATAGTAGCTGCCCCAGAGCTAATTGACAAGGGGACATGCCAGGAGGACGCGACGCGGAACGTCTCAAGGGACCCGCCAAGCGACGTGCCAAGGGACGTGCCATGGGGACGCACCGCGGGACGTGCCAAGGGGACGCGCTACGGAACGTGCTGGGGACAAGCGTTTCGCTCGAGACATCCTGCCAACATCCTCAGAATTCCTGCGCGCGGGACGCGGTACGCGCGAGACATCCTCGGAATTCTTGCGAGCGGGACGTGAAAACAAGCATTTCGCCTGAGACATCCTCTGAATTCTGGACCCCCACGAGGCCCCCCACGAGGCCCCCGCTCGAGACATCCACCAATTTTGCAAAACCAGCGTTTCGCTCGAAACGCCTTCAGCAAATTATGAAAGACAAGCATTTCGCTCGAGACATCCTGCCAAAATTCAAGGAAATCCTGGCAAAACAAACGGATTAATCGAGACATCCTCGAAATTCCTGCGCGCGGGACGCGGCACGCGCGAAACATCATCGGAATTCCTGCGTGCGGGGCGCTTTTCCGCGTCGCGGTCGGCTCTGCAAAACCAGCGTTTCGCTCGAGACATCCTGAACTCTGCAAAAAAAATAAAAAAAAAAAAAAAAAAAAAAAAAAAAAAAAAAAAAAAAAAAACTAGCGAATTAGTCGAGACATCCTCGAAATTCCTGCGCGCTGGACGCGGCACGCGCGAGACATCCTCGGAATTCCTGCGCGCGAGTCTTCCTTTGCATCCAAGTCCTGACCGAACTGATCTGGATCTGAAGCTCGAGCTTCCTGAACACATAGTAGCTGCCCCAGAGCTAATTGACAGGGGGACATGCCAGGAGGACGCGCCGCGAAACGTCCCCAGGGACGCGCCAGGCGACGTGCCAAGGGACGTGCCATGGGGTCGCACCGTAGGCCGTGCCAAGGGGACGCGCTACGGGACATCCTCAAAATTCCTGCGCGCGGGACGTGGCACGCGCGAGACATCTTCCGAATTCCTGCGAGCGGGACGTGAAAACAAGCATTTCGCCTGAGACATCCTCTGAATTCTGGCCCCCCACGAGGCCCCCGCTCGAGACATCCCCAAGTTTGCAGAAACCAGCGTTTCGCTCGAGACATCCTCAACAAATTATGAAAAACAAGCGTTTCGCTCGAGACATCCGGTCAAAATTCTAAGAAATCCTGACAAAACAAACGAATTAGTCGAGACATCCTCGAAATTCCTGCGCGCGGGACGCGGCCCGCGCGAGACATCCTTGGAATTCCCGCGAGCGGGACACGAAAACAAGCATTTCGCCTGAGACATCCTCTGAATTCTGGCCCCCCGCTCGAGACATCTCCAAATTTTGCGGAAACCAGCGTTTCGCTCGAGACATCCTCCACAAACTATGTAAAATAAGCGTTTCGCTCGAGACATCCTGCCAAAGTTCTAAGAAATCCTGACAAAACAAGCGAATTAGTCGAGACATCCTCGAAATTCCTGCGCGCGGGACGCGGCACGCGCGAGACATCCTCGGAATTCCTGCGCGCGGGGCGCTTTTCCGAGTCGCGGTCGGGGCTCCAGACCCCGTTATTTTTCGAGGATTCTGCGAAAAACGCTCCGCACCCTCTTTTTTACGAGGGAAAGCGGGGGTCTGCGGACCCCGTTATTTATCGAGGATCCGAGATGGGGGGCGAACTTTCCTCGAGCGGGCACGCACAAAACGCACTTTTTCTAACAAAAATCAGCACTTTACCTCGTTATTTATCGCAAATAATTTCGCCGGCGCTTGACCCGTCAGATCCGGGGGTAAACGGCTAAAAGAGAACCCTGGGCCCGCGCCCTTTCCGGGAAAATGCTTTAACAAGGTAAACAAAAACGCGACGTCCTTTCAGAGCTTGTAAGGTCGTTGGTTCAATTTATGTTTGGCCCGTGGCTGCGGATCATCATGTTTATCGATGATTCGCTTTCTGGTCGAGGGCAACTCCTCATCTTCGCTGCTGTCTTCGCTCCCGCTCTCCTCCCGCTTCGCGCGCAAATCAAACAGTGCAAATAAAGCCCTATCACCGGTCTAAGAGTGGCACGAATCAGGCCCGGAGACCCCGCGACCAGCCAGCAGCGACGGCCGGAGAAGAGAAGCAGGAACACATAATAAGACTACAGGAAGAGACGGCAAGGATAATGAATTGAAAACGTCCTAGACGGCAATACTAAACAGCGCAATCAACTGATGCGAATATTGCAGAAATAAACGTGGCCCATAACGCACAAAAGACCAACTGCTGGTCTAACGTTCCAGTGTTTTTGATTGGGGCAAAAAACGCTAATAGCATGATTTCCAATATGCCGAATTCAAAACGGTGGAAAACAACGCCACGGGCATATCCAGGACGAACGAAGCGCGAAGCGTCTATACTTATGATCATGCCAATTGTTGTTCCTCGACTACCAAATCTCCGATCATCCGAGGTCGGGGCCGGGACCGTCGGTGGCGCAGCTCCGGGCCTTCCATAATGGCGGCGCACGCTCCCCATCTGCTCCTGCTGTTGCTTCCTCCATCCGCCGCAAGCCTCGTCTCCTCCTCCTGCCAGCCGAGCGGCCTTGGCGGGCCAGGGTTCGGACATACTCACATGCGAGGCCAGGATCTGTCCATATCGGCCGCCCGGGGAACCGACGTCGTGGGACCCCTGTGGGAGGTGGATATGGATATATGTGGGTCTCTGGGGGCCGACTATATCCACGTTCCCTGTGTCCCGAGGTCCAGGAAGATTGGTTTCCCCAAGCGGTGGGTATCCAGCCTCGGGTCAAGAGGTAGTTGCCGGCTCTTCGAGGTGTCCTCGCCTCGGACCTGCCCTCGCTGCGATGGGAGGAATACTGCGGAATGTAAAGCATGACTGAACACGTCATCATGTGCTCTTGCGGGTTTCTGCAAATGTTGTCCCCTCGGGATACTTTCCAACGGCTGCTCCTCGCAGAGGGCGTTCTGGGAGAGCTGGACCGTCCCGAACAACCGCTGGAGGCCCGAACTATGACACGAACAAAACATGATCGACCCACGAACCCGGAAAGGAATATAGAAATGTAACGCATGGCAACGTTTTCAAGGACACCTGATTGGGTGACGGGCAAGTGCAATGCTGATTATATCGATCTTGATGTACCGTGCCGAGGGCTGTGCTGTGCTGCACCGTGCTGAATTGCGATGTGCCATGCCGCGGTTGTGCTCTATAGCGTCGTGGATCGAGTCTTCCTTTGCATCCGAGTCCTGACCGAACTGATCTGGATCTGAAGCTCGAGCTGCCTGAACACATAGTAGCTGCCCCAGAGCTAATTGACAAGGGGACATGCCAGGAGGACGCGCCGCGAAACGTCCCAAGGGACGCGCCAGGCGACGTGCCAAGGGACGTGCCATGGGGTCGCACCGTAGGACGTGCCAAGGGGACGCGCTACGGGACATCCTCAAAATTCCTGCGCGCGGGACGTGGCACGCGCGAGACATCCCCGGAATTCCTGCGAGCGGGACGTGAAAACAAACATTTCGCCTGAGACATCCTCTGAATTCTGGCCCCCCACGAGGCCCCCGCTCGAGACATCCCCCAAGTTTGCAAAACCAGCGTTTCGCTCGAGACATCCTCAACAAATTATGAAAAACAAGCGTTTCACTCGAGACAACCGGTCAAAATCCAAGGACATCCTGGCAAAACAAACTAATTAGTCGAGACATCCTCCTGCGCGCGGGACGCGGCACGCGCGAGACATCCTTGGAATTCCTGCGAGCGGGACACGAAAACAAGCATTTCGCCTGAGACATCCTCTGACTTCTGGCCCCCCACGAAGCCCCCGCTCGAGACATCCCCAAATTTTGCAAAACCAGTGTTTCCCTACATCCTCTGAATTCTGGCGCCCCACGAGGCCCCCGCTCGAGACATCCCCCAAGTTTGCAGAAACCAGCGTTTCGCTCGAGACATCCTCAACAAATTATGAAAAACAAGCGTTTCGCTCGAGACATCCGGTCAAAATTCTAAGAAATCCTGACAAAACAAACGAATTAGTCGAGACATCCTCGAAATTCCTGCGCGCGGGACGCGGCCCGCGCGAGACATCCTTGGAATTCCCGCGAGCGGGACACGAAAACAAGCATTTCGCCTGAGACATCCTCTGAATTCTGGCCCCCCGCTCGAGACATCTCCAAATTTTGCGGAAACCAGCGTTTCGCTCGAGACATCCTCCACAAACTATGTAAAATAAGCGTTTCGCTCGAGACATCCTGCCAAAGTTCTAAGAAATCCTGACAAAACAAGCGAATTAGTCGAGACATCCTCGAAATTCCTGCGCGCGGGACGCGGCACGCGCGAGACATCCTCGGAATTCCTGCGCGCGGGGCGCTTTTCCGAGTCGCGGTCGGGGCTCCAGACCCCGTTATTTTTCGAGGATTCTGCGAAAAACGCTCCGCACCCTCTTTTTTACGAGGGAAAGCGGGGGTCTGCGGACCCCGTTATTTATCGAGGATCCGAGATGGGGGGCGAACTTTCCTCGAGCGGGCACGCACAAAACGCACTTTTTCTAACATGATCGACCCACGAACCCGGAAAGGAATATAGAAATGTAACGCATGGCAACGTTTTCAAAGACACCTGATTGAGTGACCGGCAAGTGCAATGCTGATTGTATCGATCTTGATGTACCGTGCCGAGGGGTGTGATGAGACAGCACCAAGGCTCTAAGATGAGACTTTGTCGTCGTGGTGGACGCCGCCGCCACCGCGACGTCGTCGTCGTCGCGCTGTCCTCGACCCGTCGATCATGTAAGCGTGGACTCTACAAACCGTCCAAGAGAACCCCAAGAGACGTCGTCGTCGTCGTCGTCGTCGTCGTCGTCGTCGCCGCTCCCAGAGCCTTCGGGGCCTCTCCTTGGCCCTCCTACGGAAAATCCTGCAAAACCTAGCGAATTAGTCGAGACATCCTCGAAATTCCTGCGCGCTGGACGCGGCACGCGCGAGACATCCTCGGAATTCCTGCGCGCGAGTCTTCCTTTGCATCCAAGTCCTGACCGAACTGATCTGGATCTGAAGCTCGAGCTTCCTGAACACATAGTAGCTGCCCCAGAGCTAATTGACAGGGGGACATGCCAGGAGGACGCGCCGCGAAACGTCCCCAGGGACGCGCCAGGCGACGTGCCAAGGGACGTGCCATGGGGTCGCACCGTAGGCCGTGCCAAGGGGACGCGCTACGGGACATCCTCAAAATTCCTGCGCGCGGGACGTGGCACGCGCGAGACATCTTCCGAATTCCTGCGAGCGGGACGTGAAAACAAGCATTTCGCCTGAGACATCCTCTGAATTCTGGCCCCCCACGAGGCCCCCGCTCGAGACATCCCCAAGTTTGCAGAAACCAGCGTTTCGCTCGAGACATCCTCAACAAATTATGAAAAACAAGCGTTTCGCTCGAGACATCCGGTCAAAATTCTAAGAAATCCTGACAAAACAAACGAATTAGTCGAGACATCCTCGAAATTCCTGCGCGCGGGACGCGGCCCGCGCGAGACATCCTTGGAATTCCCGCGAGCGGGACACGAAAACAAGCATTTCGCCTGAGACATCCTCTGAATTCTGGCCCCCCGCTCGAGACATCTCCAAATTTTGCGGAAACCAGCGTTTCGCTCGAGACATCCTCCACAAACTATGTAAAATAAGCGTTTCGCTCGAGACATCCTGCCAAAGTTCTAAGAAATCCTGACAAAACAAGCGAATTAGTCGAGACATCCTCGAAATTCCTGCGCGCGGGACGCGGCACGCGCGAGACATCCTCGGAATTCCTGCGCGCGGGGCGCTTTTCCGAGTCGCGGTCGGGGCTCCAGACCCCGTTATTTTTCGAGGATTCTGCGAAAAACGCTCCGCACCCTCTTTTTTACGAGGGAAAGCGGGGGTCTGCGGACCCCGTTATTTATCGAGGATCCGAGATGGGGGGCGAACTTTCCTCGAGCGGGCACGCACAAAACGCACTTTTTCTAAAAAAATCAGCACTTTACCTCGTTATTTATCGCAAATAATTTCGCCGGCGCTTGACCCGTCAGATCCGGGGGTAAACGGCTAAAAGAGAACCCTGGGCCCGCGCCCTTTCCGGGAAAAAAATCAGCACTTTACCTCGTTATTTATCGCAAATAATTTCGCCGGCGCTTGACCCGTCAGATCCGGGGGTAAACGGCTAAAAGAGAACCCTGGGCCCGCGCCCTTTCCGGGAAAAACTCCCCGTCTGGTAGGCAGATCACGGCGGGCCGTTTCGGGCAATTGTCGGCCTCTAGGGTCTAGTCACTGGGAAGGTGTGGAGAGGTCCAAGGGCCCCGCACTGGAAAAGTCACGAGGCGGAGGTCTGGGCCCCTCCTCGTACAATTGGCATTCGGGTGAGTTGAGCATTCAGAACATGTCACTGGGGGGCCGATGAGAAAAATCTGAGGCCTGGCTGCGCCGCCAATGGCGTACCGCGGAGCTCGACCGACAGAGCGGTTACGATTCGTATTGCTCCTGGGGCCGGCTGGGCGGGCAGGGGTGCTACGCGGAAAGGGGTTGTCGGCGCGCCACTACCCCCCTTGCACGGCCCACCGTCGGGCGCGGCGCGAGTGGACGTGGGGGGAGAGAGAGGTGAGGGGTGGCGACTGCTGCCTCACGCCCTGAAGGGCCTGCGGCTTGCCCGAGAGAAGGTCGGCGGTGGGCGCGGCGCGCCCCCCCTCTCTGCATAGAGGGGGCTGCACCGAGGGGGGGCGCGCCCCCCCCCCCCCCCCCGACGCAGCGAAATCGCTCCTCCGTCCGGCTGCGCGCCGGCAAGATTTGCAAGTGCCGTCGCGCGCGCAGCGGGGCCCTCCTTTTGTGTTTTCGGCCGCAGGGAAAAGAACAGCAAGCCCCAGGGGGCCGCGTTGGCGGACGATTCAAACAATGGTTCCCGCCCGCCCAGTTTAGATAAGACGCGCACGACAATACTGAATAGAGATCCTGGGTGGAGGCAGGGAGCAATATTTGGATCACCAGCGTCGTGCATTGCTCCTCCCTCCCCTCTCCACCTCTCTCCTCCGCCTCCTCCTCCTCCTGTTCCTCCTCCTCCTCCTCCTCCTTTTCATCCTCCTCCTCTTCCTCAGGAGCAGGGGGGAGGTGGTTTGCGTGTCCCCCCGCTGGGTTCTCAACAGCCCTGGGAGTGTAGAGGAGGAGGAAGAGGAGGAGGAAGAGGAAGAGGAGGAGGAGGAGGAGGAAGACGACAAGTGCAAACCCAGGAGTCATCACTGATGTTGGAATAAACCCTCCCTCCAAGCTCCCTCTTCACAGTCTCCTATAACACTTCACTTCCATTGAGGGACCTGCCTCGTTGGAAGGCAACCTTTCGAAGACTCTGAAGCATGCATAAACAACGTTCTCGGGATTCCAACGCCACGGATCAAAATGTCTGTTGCGTTTTGACGAACCTAAATCATGCCAGAACTCCATTCCTGGGGGGTCAACACCGCGAATCAACGTAAATGCTGCGCCCGCGTAATCCTGAATCCTTTCAACATGCACCATTTCTGCTGCGCTGATCATGGTAACCCGTGAAACTCTTGCACAAAAATATAAACGAACGCGCGCGGCGTTCATGCGAAAAACACAGTTTGGGAAAAAGAAAAGCCTCAACCCGTGAAACTCTCGCAGATGTTTAGAACGAGTGTACGCGGCGCTGAGGCGATAACCACAATTTGAAAAAGAACCGCCCTCAATCCGTGAAGCCCTTGCACATGTATAAGCGAATATGCGCGGCGCTAATGCGAGAGCCACATTTTGAAAACGAACCGCCCTCAATCAGTGAAGCTCTTTGTTTAAAATGAATGTGCGCGGCGCTGAGGCGAGAACCACAGTTTGACAAAGAACCGCCCTCAACCCGCGAAGCTCTTGCGCATGTATAAACGAATCTGCGCGGCGCTAATACGGGAGCCAAAATTTGAAAACGAACCGCCTTCAATCCGTGAAGCTCTCTGTTTACAACGAATGTGCGCGGCGCCAAGGCGAGAACCACATGTTGAAAAAGAACCGCCCTCAATCAGTGAATCTCCTGCACACTATATAAACAAATATGCACGGCGCTGATGCGAGAGTCACATTGATATACAAACAAGATAAGACTCGCCCTCAATCCGTGAAAGTCCTGCAAGTTGCTTAAACGAATGTGCGCGGCGCTAAGGCGAGAGCCGCATCTTGAGAACGACCCGCCCTCCAGCTGTGAAGCTGATGTCAATTCTGGAGCTTCAGCGCCATACGTGGTGAAGAAGTCTCAGGCGAAACGCCAAGCCCGTCCTAAGAACAGGCATCAGGGTGCGACAGGGAGAAGTGATGTATAAGGAAAAGCAATGGAGGAGGAGGAGGAGGAGGAGGAGGAGGAGGAGGAGGAGGAGGAGGAGGGGGATGAGGAGGAGGAGGAGGAGGAGGAGGAGGCTGAGGGGGCTGTGGAGAGGGGGCTGGCCACCTGGCCGCGTCGGTGGGCCCGCCGACCCTGCCCGACAAACGGCCCCGTGGAAGCCAGCGCCGCCCCTACGCGTGTCTGGCGTTGTCTAGACCTGATCGGTTCACGTAATATTTCATAAATTATGAAGGGAGGGGGCGATAGAGGCAGACAGGGCCGGCCAGGTGGGCAGGAGGGAAGGAGGAACGTGGGGCTGGGGGCGGGCGGGGGGGAGCGGTCGTTGCGTCGTCGTGGTGGCGGTCGTGGTGGTGGTCGTAGCTGTCGTGGTGGTGGCCGTGTCCTTCTCCTCCTGCTTCCACTCCTCCTGCTCTCCTCCTCCTCCTCTCTTCCTCCTCCCCGCTCCCTACCTCCTCCCACCTATTTTCCGATTCTCCCTCCTCCCTCGTCGTCCCCCTTCTCCGCCTGGTGCATGTTCCTCGTCCTCCTCCTCTCCTCCTTCTCCCTATCCGACTTCAAGAACCCCATTCATCCACCAGATTCCTCCTCCTCATCCTCGTCATCGTCCGCATCACCCTCGTGCTCCTCTTCCATCCCTTTGGTCATCCGGCGGCAACGAGGAAGACGACGACCATGGTGACGACGACCACGCTGACCACGACGACGTCGACTCCCAGGAAGTCGACATTAGGCATTCGGCGGCAATCTACACGCCGCCGGCGATAGGAAGACGATGAGGTGAGAAGGATGGGAATGGGGAGGAGAATGAAGAGGAGGGGGGGTCGAAGACGATAACGACAAGGCGGACGGAGGAGCATGATGGAGAATGATTGTTTCAATCCCCATGCAAAAGTCCCGACCGTTTCACCGGGGACATAATGTTCCGCCCGTAATAACTGCTGGCAGTCCCGGGGCCAGACAACGTCCGTCTCGATAAATATAAGAAAATATTCCGCGCAATGATCCTCGTCGTCTTGTTTTCGGAAACTCTGGTCTCTGGCGGTCGTCCGGGACAATTCTGGCACCCCCGGGACGCCCTCGGCGAGGCGCAACTCCCAGAACGCATCCCCAGGGAGGAAGCCTCCAGGAACCCACCAAATCCTTCGATAAATGAAACAGGCGACGAAAACCTGTTCGAAGAAACGACGATCTGAAGTTGTGATTTTCCCGTGACGTGGACCCCCGAAGGTCTGGACCCTTCCACGGGGACCAATCTTTCATCCCAGGTCGTTTTCTCGGCGGTCCCATTGCCCGGCAGGGCACCCGGAGGCCGAACATGTAGAACAACCTCCAGTCGCAATTTCTTCACGACGCGAATAAGAAAATGAGCAATAATACACCAGTAAGATGTATAACATCATGACTGAAAAGAATCCAAAGAAGGAGAGACAGAAGAAGATGAGGAGGCAGAGAAGGAACGGGAAAGGAGGGGGAGGGGGAGCTGAAACGGGGCAGCGAGGAGGACGCAGGAGGGACCAGGACAAGGCGAGGGCAGGAGGCGCCGCAACGCCTGCTGCGGGCCCACGCCGCCGCTGCAGCTGTCTCCCGGCGGGGCCACGTCGGCGGCGCCGCCGGCGGCGCTCGCCCGCGGCGCGGCGGCGGCCGGGTGCGGCGTGCGCGCGGCCTCCCCGTCGGCCTCCTGCAAGCAGAGAGGCGTCGTCACGTGGTGCGGAGTTCAACCTCCCCGCTCCTCCTTCTCCTCCTCCTCCTCCTCCTCCTCCTCCTTGTCGCCCTCCTCCTCCTACTCCTCCTCCTCCTCAGCATACCATCACCATCATCATCACCATCAGCATCATCAGCATCATCAGCATCATCATCATCATCATCATCATCATCATCATCATCATCATCATCATCATCATCAACACCATCATCATCAGCAGCAACATCAGCATCATCACCATCACCATCACCATGACCATCACCATCACCATCACCTTCATCATCACCATCACCATCACCATCACCATCACCATCAACATCAGCATCAGCATCAGCATCAGCATCATCATCAGTATCAACATCAGCATCAGCATCATCAACATCAGCATCATCATTTTCATCATCAGCATCAGCATCAACATCAGCATCAGCATCAGCATCATCATCATCATCAGCATCAGCATCAGCATCATCATCATCATCATCATCATCAGCATCATCATCATCATCCCCACCTCCTCCTCTTTCGTCCTCAGGCACGCGTCAGTTGACGAATCGCCATGCGCTGCGAAATTCCCCTCCTCCTCCTCCTCCTCCCTCCTGTTTCTCTTCGCTCGTTCGTTCTCTCGCGACCTACGGCCCTGCGAACTATCGAGATGAACGCGGCCCGCTCCCAGGGGGAAGAAAAGAAAACGAATCCCATGCACACTGAAGACTAATCGTCCTGCGTCCCTGGAGGGACAGGCTGGGGGTGGTGGCCAGCCCAAACTCCCCCGCACCTACGGATCCACGGGGGCGTGGAACGCAGAAAGGGGGCAGGGGGCAGAAGGTCCCCACACCGTTGCTCAAATTCCTCCTCCTCCCCCCCATCCCCCTCCTCCTCCTCATCCTCCTCCTCCTCCTGCTCCTCCTCAGATAGGCATCGCGTGACGGATCCAAGTCGTCGATCCTCCTGGGCCAGGGGCCCACCAGGGGGGTGGCGCGAGGGGCGGCCTCCTAAAAAGGCAGAGAGGGGGCCTTTGGAAGGCCCCCCGGAGGCATCAACCGAAGGCTGCTCAGGATCTGGGCGGGGTTACCAGAAGCTCCTCTGCATTTTCCGAAACCGCGCATTCCTCTTGGAAGCCCACCCCCCTCGCGCCACCCCCTTGGGCGCCGCCAACACCTGGGCAAGTGGCCGAACACTGTACTTCGTAGGCCACCTGACGGAACAAGCTGTTTCTTGTCGTGAACAAATCAAGATCTCCGACGATTGGATTTTTGTCAGCCGGCGGCTTTGCCCTGGGTTTCGGCCTCATGGGGACCGCTGCCGGGCCCGAGCGCCATCAAAAGTGGACCCCGGGCACAGAACCTCTGCCCCATGGGGAGAAAGGTCCAGACCTCCTGGGTGCAACGCTGTGAACAGAATCGCGACGTCGGAGGTCACCTAACTTCGTGGATCGCGCATCGCGCCCCGCCCAGCGCGACGCTTGACCGTTTCCTCACCCTCGCACCGCGCATCCCTGAGGAGGGCGCCTATCCAACCAAGGCCGCGACGCGCAAAACGCGGGTATCTTTGCGCAGCCCTCTCGGGGTGCTTGAACGCCTCTTCAAGAACAATGTTCCCGAATAGTTCCTCGGAGAGCTAAGGATGTTGTAGATAAGAAGCCGGCAGGCAGGGCTAGCCAGCTCCTCTCCAAGGCTGCTGGCTCCCCGGCGCAGGCTGTGTGAAGTTGTGGCGTGACCCGACGGCCCTTTTCTAAGCGCTTCCTCGTTGGAGAGCCAAGAGGGTTTCAGATAAGAAACCGGCACAGGCAGGGCTAAGGCAGCTCCTCTCCAAGACTCCCGAGCAGGCATCCCCGCAGCGAGTTGCTTGAACTCGCAGCGTGTTCCGGCCAGCGGTTTACTACACACGCGTGCCCTGAAGCTCTCCATAAGCTCCTTCGAAGCTCCTTCGAAGCTGCTTTGAAGATCGCTTCTCAAAGCTCGGAAGCTCCCCAGGCATGCTTTTCAATGCCCTGGCAAGCGTCTCGCGTTTCTAGCGTTCTCGCCAGCGCTTCCTATTGCGATTGAGGCGCAAACTGCGTCGTGATCTGGGCTGTGATGCCATACGCTTCTTTGGGCCGAGGCGAGCGGCAGGTTGCTGACGGCGTCACATTGGGTGGCTCTCGAACCTGAATTTGCTCGCGGCTGGGGCGCGCACGCGTGTCAGATGCCCACCCTGCCGACTGGCCGGCCTCCTGGAGCAGCTGTTTGGATGAAGTGTTTGCCGCTGCGTCCTTCAAAAGAACTCGCGACGTCGATCTTTGAGGGAAGCTGGCCAGCGCCAGAATCTGTGTCTCGGCGGATGCACGCGCGGTTCCCCGCGGCCGCAAGCCGGCGTCCGCCGAGAACCAGGCCATGCGTTGGCCTCTGCAGGCTTGGCCGCCGAGGCCCCAACGTCGCATCTTTTTCACACTGGGCGTTTGCGCCCAGTGTAGAGCCCCTGCAAAACTTTCACGGATCGATCTGACTCGAGAGATACCGCAGACTGATAGGGTCGAAGACTCTGCGGACGCGCTTGCTTTTAGAAGACAGTAGCCCCTCTGGCTCAAGCGGGCCGCAGCGGCCGCTGCCGTGAGGTAGGGGGTCAGCCCCGACCTCCTATTTGCCGGCGGGGGCTGGGAGAGGGCCTCCTCTTTTGCAGCCTCCGCCTCCCGCGCCATGTCCACGCTGCCTGCTGTCGGCCTGTCGGGCGCCGCCCTTCGGCGGCGGCAGCGCCTGGCCGCCGCCCTGCGTACTGGGCCGCCGGTCTTGGGCGCCAGTTCTGCCGTCACGGCTGCTGCCGCCCGCCCCCGGGCGGCGGCTGGCGCCAGCGGCGTGCAGCCGCTGCTTAATGCTGCCGCTGCCACTGCTGCTGGCGCCTCGCCGCGGGCGTCGGTGTGCGGCGGCCGCTCGGGCGCTGGTGGTGGCCCTCTGGCTCGGACCGTCCGTTCGGACAGTCCGTGCCCCAGCGCCGCCGTCGGTCGGGCGCTCGTCGCCTGGCGCGGCGGCCGCTGCCGCTGCCGCTGCCGCTGCCGCTGCCGCCGCCGCCGCCGCCGCCGCCGCCGCCGCCGCCGCCGCTGCTGCTGCTGCTGCTGCTGCTGCTGCTGCAGCACTGCTGTTGCTGCTGCTGCTGCTGCTGCAGCTGCAGCTGCTGCTGCTGCTGCCGCCCCCTCGCCTGCGGTGGCTTGGGCGGCGGAAGGTGGCAGCTCCTCTGCTGCAGCTGCTGCTGCTGCTGCCAGCGCCTTCGGCGCTGCGCTGGCGGCGGCGGCGGCGGCGTCGGCGGGCTGCGGCCCCGCCGCTGTTCCCTGTGAGGCGGCCTGGGTCGCCGCCGCGGCGATTTTTGCTGCCGCCGGCGGCGCTGCCGATCCGGCTGCCGGGGCCGCCGCCGCCGCCCGCGTCGCTGCGGCGGCCTGGGGCGCCGTTGCTGCTTCCGTAGAGGCCGCGGCCTGCGGCGGCGCCGCTTCCAGGTGGTTTTCTACACGACGTGCCCCGCAGGGCGACTGGGCGCTCTGCGCGGCTTTCCCGCAGTGCGGCTCGACCCCGGCGTCCAAGGCCCAGCGGGTTTCTGGAACCCCGCTGGTCTGTCGGGTATCACGGGGAACCTCGCCAGGCGGCGCGGGGCAGAGCCGGCGCGCAGCCGCATGGGCATGTTGGCCGCCGCGAGTCCATCGCGCCCGATGTCAATAGCCAACCGTTTGTTTACCCGTCCCCTCTGGCTTGCCAGCAGTTCCAGAACATCCCGATCGAAATCGGCGCGATCTCCGAAGTTCACGCGGAGAGATGGGTTCTGATCGTGGCTTGCGGCGCTTTCCGCGAGCAGCGCCACTGGGGCAGCATTGATTGGCCTTGACGCGACCCTTGAAATCCACCAAACAAAATTTTACTCCCTATGGACGTAGCACGTAGCGTCCCCTGAGGACGCAGGCCTACCCCGGGGAAGGGCTCGCGAGTCTGGGGCCCGCAGGCTGGGCAAAAACAGGTCTGAGGATGTGTGGGCGCCGGTCCTCCCCCTGAGGGAAAAAACAAAAAAAACGAAACCATCGCACATTTGAGCATGAGCTTTTTGCGGATCCGCGCGGCAAGAGGGGTCGAGAGGTCTAGCTGCCCGCGTCTTGAAGTCGGGGCGTGGCAGAACTTGGACTCTCCCCCTGACGCACGGGCAGCTCCATGGCTGACCTCCGTCAGCAGGCCTCCCAGGCCAGTCCCAGGCGGTCCTTCCCCAGGAGACCCTTGCAGGGATCTGGGCTTCCCAAGCAGGGTCCGCCGCATCGCGCCGCATCGCCGATGCTTCGCCGACGCGGCTCGAAGTGGAACCCGATGTTGTGCACGCCGGCGGTGCCGATGCATCGGCGACGCATAGGCGAAGCATAGGCGATGCGGCGCGATCCTCCGACTCCATCTGCTCGGACCCCATTTGGGAGGGCCCATGGGTGCTTCCGGAGGAGGCTGTATTTCCAAACAGAAACTCGGTTCCTCCCATCAGTTTCGACGTCGTGGACAAAATGCGACGTCTTCTAACAATTTTCCAGTCTCAGCGCGGCAGAAGCAATCCGCTCGCGCGTCCAAGCAACCCAGGCAAACGTATTGTCCCGCGTGCAAGAAGAGGGGAAAAGACGAGAGGTGGCCGCAGAGGCAGGAGGCGAGAAAAGAGAGCGCACTCACGCGGCGAGGCCGTGGGGCGCGCTCGGAGCGCGCTCGGGGCGGCCGGGCCGCAGGGCAGCCCCTGGCAGCGAGCGCGGGGCGGCATCGCGGACGCACTCAGGGGAGGTGCCGGCGGCCGCAATGCAGGGCGGGACCCTGCAAGTGGGGAGCTGCGGGAGGGAGCGGCGGGCCGGGGCGCGGTGAGGGAAGGCGGGTGGTGGCTGTGCTGGTCGGCTGCGGTGGGCT